TTTTGAGTGATCGGCAAGTCAACTATTAGCATTTTACCCAAGTCAACTGAGTATGTTTCACACAATTCAGCTGGCTCTTTGTAAATCTATTAAATACCACAGTGAAGGACTGAAAGTTAAAGCACCCTTCCTGAGTTTGATCCACAAATGCACAGAAAGTGTTTTATCCCAGGTGTGAACATCTCATCAGCCTTCAGAACAGTTCTGTGAAGAGAAACAATCTGAGTTAATAATGTTCTACAGAAGCGGTAAGCTTTCTCACATCTTCAGTCTACTTTGTTTTTCATACTCTTTAAATTGGTTTTACCTATTTACCTTTACCTATGTAATATTTTGTTGCATTCAATGAAGGTTTCTCGATGCTGCAGTAGTCTTTAAAATTGGAAGACGCCATTGTACTGTGGGAGCTGAGGTTGACATTTAAACTGCTTTCCCCAAAAGTTCTTTACTTCTGCTTTGAACAGTTAGGTTTATTTTGGTCAGCCAGGTGGAACATGACACATGTGGAAACCCATCACCATGCTTAAGAGTATCCAACCAATAACAACAACTTGCATTTATATAGCACCCTTCATACCGGATGGCATCTTGGAGAGCTTAACAATGGCAGAGCCCGATGCTGAGCCGGGGGAGGGGGAAGGTGATCTTAGGTACGGTCAAAGAGGAAGGTCTTCAAGGGCGACCTGAAAATGGGGAGAGACGGGGCAAGGGGAAGGAATTGAAGGAGGGAGTTGCACAGCTTCAGGGCATAGTGGCTAAAAGCACAGCCACCAATGGTACGGAGGAGGGTCCAGGGGAGAAGGAGGAGGCTGGAGCCAGTCAAGCGGGGGCAGCAGGTAGTAGTGTAGGGAGAGAGCAGATTGGAGAGATAGGGGGTGCCAGGGTTTGAAGGGATTTAAGTACAAGAGCGAGGATCTTGAAATCTTGAAATTGATCCGCTCTATGATAGGAAGCCAATGGAGTTTGACAAGGACCGGGGTAATGGAGAGACGGAGTTTAGTGTAGGTGAGAATGTGGGCGGTAAAGTTTTAATTAGTTGAATTTTGTGAACAGTGGAGCAAGGGAGATCAGAGAGTAGGGCGTTTGAGTATTCAAGGCAGGAAGTGACGAAGACGTGGACAGGGTTTTCGGCAGCTTTTCGAATAAGGTACTGATGGAGGCAGACGACGAGTAAAGCGGTCCTGGCCAGGGACTGGATGTGGGGTACAAAGGATAGCTGGAGGGTCCTCTTGCAGGATTAACAGGAGCTGAGTGAGAAAAGCCCCGTCACCAGTTTTAACCTCCCAAGTCCTGCTCATGACTGATGACAGTGATGAGCCTGGTTGGGCTGGGCTGTCATCAGCAGTGCCCTAAAGTACTGCGGACCAGCCTGGCTCAGGAAGCAGAGTGGAGACCGCCACAGAGGGTTGAATTGATTCTGGCATTCCATTGCCAAACATATCACCTTGGAGCCATTTGAGCTCCAAGGAGACCTTGTTTAGCCACATCAACCCTCCCACCCCCCAAGAGGATATTCACAAGTTGGTTGATATCTGATAAACATGGGGTTTGAGCCCTCAATACAATCAAAATTACATTTGTAATTAATCCTGCAAGAGGACCCTCCAAGGCACTGAACAGTCAGGGATGAGGACCCAAGTGCGGGTTGGGGGGTTGGGATCCGGGAGGGTGGAGGGCAGAGAGGGTAGGATGGTGGCCTTGATCGAAGTCATGATCGAAGAGTAGTCTTGAGGTGTGCCTTGAAGGAGGCAAGGGAGGGGCGGAGGTGAAGGGAATGAAGAATGAAGTTCCAGAGGGTGGGGCAGAGATGATTAAGGCCCGATGGCGGGGCAGGGGTCATGGAGCAGGCTGAAGTGGAGGGAGCGGACAGGTTGGTAATAGGGTTAGCCAGGTCAGAGAGGAGGCGGGGGCAAGGCCGTGGAAGGCCTTGAAGGGTGAGGACAAGGATAGGTGGGTGGCAAGTACCAGGAACTCCCTGTGAGCTTCCTGGTGGGCAACACAGCTCAGCATGAGAGCAGTGTGTCAGAGCACAGCTGTCGTCCCAAGACTGAAAATTCTTCATCAGCTATCTGACAGACAACTGCCTGGTGAGAGGACCTTTTCAGGACTACAATGACCTGTTGCTGAACACCTGAGTGGTGAAGTTGGCTTTATAACGGGCACGTCTATTTGCCAAACATGGGTACCTGGATTAAGCAGCTGGTGCTGAGTAAGCTTGGTACACAGAAATGGATTTAGAACATCATGGTTGCTGGCACATCACAAGCTGTAAAGGAAGTGGGTTCTAAGGCTGGAAATCTGCTTATCCATCTGCTTATCCATTTGCTCAGGAATTCTAGAGTTTTTCTAGTCGTTGAAATATGCCAACTGCTCATTGGGTCTGCAAAAGCAAAAGTGCTGGTACAATGTGGAAAGTTTAAAGCTAGTTAGATAATAACAAAAAGAATCCTTACATTTGATATAGCGCCTTATCACATCTTCTAGTCGGCTCAAAGCGTTTCACAGAATTGACTGTATATTTTGTGGGCGAAACTCGGCGTATAGCAGTGTCCCACAAATAGTTGTGGGTTGAGTGGCCAATTTATTATTTTTTTGAGAAATTATTAGTTATTAAAATGATAAGTGATGTACAATACAAGGCAATACAAGGCAAAAAATGTAGCTGAAAGTTAGTTTCAACAAGGAAAATCAAGATAATAATAATCCTTGCATTTGATATAGCACTTTTCACGTCGGGAGGACGTCCCAAAGCGCTTCACAGAACACACTGTAAAGTGAATTGACTGTATATTTGTGGGCGAACGCGGCAGCCAATTGCGCACAGCAATGTCCCACAAACAGTCATAGATTGAAAATGACCAATTTATTATTGTTTTTGGATTTTGGAGGGATTATTATTAGGTGTGTGGTGTAAGGAAACTTGCCCAAGGTTTCGCCCTCTGCCTGGAATTGAACTCAGGTCTCTCACTTGCAAAGCGAGTGCTCTAACCACTGAGCTACAGGACTCTACAGATGGCAGCTAGTTTTTAAGGTAATGGCCCAATGAACTTTTCTAAACAGTGAGTAACAACATACTAAAAGGTTGCTAAATACTGATATTTCAATGTATGTGGGTCATGAACTTTTAAAAAATAGAGCGTATTTTGTAGGGGAAACGCAGCAGCCAATGTCCCATAAACAGTCGTGGATGGAGTGACCAAATTGCTATTATTTTCTTTTGAAGGAATTATTAACCCTGGAAAAGCAATCCGCCAATCGACTAACAACCGGGTTCCTGATTACTGCTAGGTAAACAGAGGCGTGTGGAGTAAGGAAACTTGCCCAACGTTTTACATTGCAGGGAATCGAACCTGTGTCTCTCGCTTGCCAAGCTGTGCTCTAACCACTGAGCTACAGGTCTCCTCTCTCTATGCCTGAATGTATGCACCACCAGAGAATCTCAACCCATTAGATCTGGTCGATTGAAATGGATGCACTCGTGATTCCTTATAAATATTACTTATCACTGGACAGAAAGTAGACTCTCACATAGGAGAGAGGGAAATAGAAGGTTATGAGAGGGAGTAAGAATGGGTGAAGAATTGTTTGGAGTATAAACACTGGCACGGACTGGTTTACCGAATGGCCTTTTTCCATGTTGTCCATTCTTTGTAGAAACTAATAATAATAATATTATACGTCATTGAAACATGTCCAAGCAAGTTTAGTGGCTATGTATAGGTGAATGAGGTAAACGATTTTTCACACAGAGTTGTCTCACAAACATCCATAATCTTATCTGGAAGATTGTTGGCCAGGATACTGGGAGAAGTACCCTTCCTTTTTCAAACAGTGCCAATGGGATCTTTTAACATCCATCATTAAGCAGACAAATCCTCAGTTTAATGCTGTACCCGGATGGCAACTCCAGCAATGCAGCACACCCCAGCACTGCATTGGGGTGTCAGCCCAGGTTGTGATCTCGAAATCCCAATTTAGAGCTTGACCCTACAATCTTCTGACTGAAAAACGAGAGTATTACCAACTGGGCCAGGCTGACCCATTGCTTGTGATTCATGTGAGGTTGGATTTGTCACAGATAAGGACCTTCCCCTTTAATTGTTTTCTCACGCTCTGTTACATTGTACATTTTATGAATGTACATGATTTTTGACAACTAATCCCCGCTAACCATGCAGTGTAAATGGGGTCTGGGGTATTGAAAATTGTGTTTGGAGGTGTTCCTGAAGGTGGTGGTTTTAGGAGCTTTGAGTTGGCAGAGCTGTAGTGCACATAAATTAACACTAGCTCTACTACCGAGAATAATCCCTTAAAAGTTCTTGGATGTCTATCTAGCGAACAGCCTAAGAACTTCCGTGGACTGCTTTAGATGTTGTTTAAAGTCAATAAAGTAACTTGAGGACGGGTTTGCAGGGTTATGGGGAAAGGATTTGGGAAGTGGGATTGACATTACATTGCTCTATTCAAAGAGCCGGCAGAAACTCGATGGGCCGAATGGCCTCTTTTTGTGCTGTACAATTCTATGATTCTATGATTGCTCCTTTTAATCATGATATAAAAAACCACAACATTCGATTTTAAGGAACAATGATAAAGAGAATTCCGAAATCAGGCTTTAGATTTTTCACAGCGCTTCAGCCATGAGGGGCTGCAAGTAAAATGAAGCCCTAAAATGAAGGTAAAATGAATGTAAAATGAATATCTGGTATGTTTTTCCTGAAAAAGATGAATATTCAAGTGGACATTTAATGATCCAGCAGTGTCTGAGGCGCAGGAAACTTAAGGGGAGGAAATCCTTGTGTATAAATAAAAAGTTTCTATCAACGATTTGTTGTATTAACATGGCTGTACTGTACTGTGTTGGATTAAAGTAGTTCACCCCACAGACAGGCACTTACCATTGGTGTAGAATAACGACCCAAAAGTATTTTAAAAAGGACTGCAAATAAGCCCCACTTTTGATTTGTGATATAATGTGCTTCTTTATTTTGTCAATGCAGAGATCTTCTATTCGGCCAGATCTACAGTAAATTGAGCGAGATCTCAGTGGCGAAGGGAGTATTCATTGAGTGCCTGGAGCCCTACGTTTTGACTGACAAGCTAACCAGCATCACACCTCAGGTGATGAAGGATATGCTCATTCACTTTCAGGACAAGGGCATGATGGAGACTATTGAGGCCTGCATAGTGCACATGGATGTGACTAGCTTAGATATTCAGCAGGTGAGCAAAACTCAAACCTTGTGACATAGGTCTGAGCGCTAAAAAAAGCAAACTTTCCCATCAATCATTTAATTGAAAAATAATATTAATGATTGTTGCATTTTATGTAGTGCCTTATTACATCGTTGAGACGTCTCAAACCGTTCAGAGAATATACTGTAAAGTTAATTGACTATTCTGTGCGCAAAAAGTGGCAGTCAATTGCGCACAGCGATGTCCCACAAACAGTCGTGGATTGAGATACCACATTTTTTTTTGAGGAATTATGACCTCTGTAAAATCATCCACCAATCGACTTTAACAACCGGATTCCTACTTACTGTTAAGTAAGCAGAGGGATGTGGGGTAAAGAAATGTGCCAAAGATTTTGCCATGCCCAAAATCCCATTGTATGGCAGAGAAGGTAACTTTATTAGCCATGAGTCACAACCACAGGTTACAAATGAATTGATTCACTGGTGGAACAACACCAAATTTTATATAACTAGCTGTACCCGTTGCAGCTATGTTTGCAACCAAAGGATCCAATATGGAACACTTCCTTATCCTTAAAAGGTTTGATTTTGCTTAGGCATCTTTATAATGATAAATATAAATGTATAATCTATAATTACTGGGACATTCTCCCGACGGGAAGGCACTTTTAAAATGTAATTTTGTTGTTGTTGCCGCAGCTTAGCTTCATCTGTGTTCTTTATTTTGTTCCCGCTGTCACTTGGCTATGTGTGTGCTCTGTGATGTAGGATGCCACAGCCGGCATGGCCACCAGGTGTAACTGCAGAATGTCACAGTGTCACTGATTCGGCGGCCACCAAGTGTAACTGCAGCAAAAAATGCAAAATTGAAATACATTTTAGGTCATAATTCATGAACAATAGGAGATACACAAAAACAAATATGCCCATGTCACTCCCACATGCACGACCTTTCAGATGAGGTATAAACCATGTCTCTATGTCAATCGGTTACTGAGATCCTTCTTGAAGCGCGCAGAGACAGCCAGGCAATGTTGTTTTATTAGTATATATTTACATTTATAATGCACATTTAACTTCTCAAAGTGCTCAATACAAGAGACTGGTTATATGGGTGACTTTTTTTTGCTTTCCCAAAATTACACTTTCTGGTTTCTGGTTAATGTTTGAGGGTGTTGTTGTCGAGCTGTTTAAAGTGCCAATGTCGTTGAAGTTTGACAGGTTTCATGTTACAGGTGGTCGGGATGTGCTGGGAACACCACCTGCACGATGCCATGATCTACGTGTACAACAGAGGAATGAATGACTACATCATGCCAATGGAGGTGAGAGAGCCTGAACAACGTTGAGCACAAATATTGCCGCTGTGTTTCCAAGATATTCTTTCAATAACAATGTAGAAATGGAGACTCGGTGCACTAAACTCATGTAACCCTAGAGTACCGTGTACAGTTACGAACACCATGACATCAGGGGCTGCCAACTGCAGAGGAGAACAACAAGGATATCTCCAGCGTCAAAGGGAATGAGCTATGAGCAATGATAAGACACTACCGAATTTAAATATAAAGTGAAGAGTATAAGGTGATGGTTGGTGAGAGACAAGGGGACCCCAGATTGTGGGGTAATGCTGGTATTCAACCAGCTTCCAAAAGAAGGGAAAGCAAATTAAAATTCTTCATTCATAGTCATAGAAACATAGAAACAGGACCAGGCCATTCAACCCTTCGAATCTGTTCCACTTTCTATCATGGCTGATCTGTACCTCAACTCCAATTACCCGCTCTTGCCCCAAATCCCTTGATACCCTGATCTAACAAATATCTATCTGTCTCAGTCTTGAAAATTTGATTTGATCCAGCATCCACAGCCTTTTGGGAGAGAGAGTTCAAGATTTCCACTACCCTTTGGTTGGAAAACTGCCTCGAAATTTCACTCTTAAATGGCCTAGCTCTAATTTTAAGATTACACCCCCCTTGTTCTGGATTCCCCTGCCAAAGGAAAGTGTTTCTCTGTACCTACCCTATTGAATTGCTTTATTCTTTCAAAAACCTCAATCAGATCACCTTCAACCTTCTAAACTCAAGGGAATACAGACCATGTTTATGCAACCTCTCCTCATACTTTAACTCTTTAAGCCGTGGTATCATTCTGTGAATCTGCACTGCACCCCCTCCAGAGTCAATATATCCTTCCTGAGGTGTGGTGCCCAAAACTGAACACAGTCTCCAGATGGGGTCTGACCAAGGCTCTATATAGTTGAAGCATCATTTCCTCTCCTTTATATTCCAGCCCCTTTGAGGTAAAGGCCAACGTCCCTTTAGCCTTTTTGATAACTTTTTGTACCTGTGAACTTGTTTTTAGTGATTTGTGTTCGTGGTCACCCAAATCCCTTTGCATTTCCACCATTTAAAAAATATTCTCTTTTGATATTTTTGGATCCATAGTGGATGAACTAACACTTCCCCAAATTGAATCCCATCTGCCACAGTTTTGCCCACTCACTTAATCTGTCTAAGTCTCTGTAACTTCCTGCTCCCATCTACAAAATTTACATTGCCTCCTAACTTTGTGTCACCTGCAAAATATATTTATATGGTGAAAAGCTGAGGCCCCAGCACAAACCCTGGGGAACACCACTTGTCAAGTCCCCTCAATCAGAGAACGTTCCCTTTTTCCCTACTCTCTGTTTTCTGCCTCCCAACCAATTACCAAGCCATGTCGTCAGACATGATCTACCCTTTACAAGTCCTCTTTGGTTAGCTCATTCTTGTCCAAGTGCTCAATCACTCTGTCTCTGATGAGAGATTCCAGTAAGTTCCCCGCATCTGAAGTTAAGATGACAGGTCTGTAGTTACCTGGTTTCTCCCTCTCATCTTAAATAATGGAGTGATATTTGCAATTCTCCAATCCAAGGGCAGAATTCCCAAATATATAGAGCTAACACATCTACAATTTCCTCCCCTGCTTCTTTTAATAGCCTGGGATGGAATCCATCTTTAGTCTCATTATTTTATCCATTACCTCTTTATTTATATTAAATCTATTTAGTGCTTCGCTTTGGCTTATTTGTAGGTTCCTTTGAACCACTGATATTCTGTTCTCTACTGTGAAACATAGAACATAGAAGCATAGAAACAGGAGAAAGCTATTCAGCCCCTCAAGCCTTTCCCACCATTTTATAAGATCATGGCTGATCTATACCTCAACTCCACTTACCTACCCTTGCCCCATATCCCTTAATATCCTGACCTAACAAATATCTATCTACCTCTGTCTTGAAAATGTGAATGGATCTAGTGAAAATGGAAGCAAAATATTAATTCAACAAGTCTGCCATTTCCTTATTGTCCTTTATAGTCTCATCTACATTTGTCTTTAATGGGCCTAAGTTCCCCTTTACCACTCTTTTTCTCTTAATATATTGATAAAAACTTTTACTCTTGCCCATGTTTTTTCTCACATTCCTTTTTGCACCTCTTATTACTTCTTTGTATCTCTTTATTGCTTTTTATCGCTCTAATCTTACCGAATAGCTGGAATACACTCCGACACATTTTCTAGGACAATGTCCCTTTAAGTGTTTGCGCCTCCGCATGCCATTTCCCCATATAGGTATCTTACTCCAGCAATCTTCCAGTTTCTCTGGCTCCTGTAGCCAATTAGTTTAAGAATAATTAGTTAAACTAGCCAACTAGGAAAGGCACAAAGTCATAAGATTTTAAAAAAAGCTCACCATCTGTTAATACTGAAGGTCAGTATTGTTCTTAGCAATGTAACTTGTTTTCTTTCTGTATCTTGTGAATAAAAAAAATCACTTCCAATGTGTTGTGGCTGTGGGTTTCCATCTCAAAGGAGGCAAACCACTAATGGCCCAAGGATTTGTTAAGTAACCAGCGTCGGACATTAATTACTTCTTGCCGAGCAGTGCTGATGTGTACAAGTCCACGGCACCCTCATTACCAGCTTTGTTTTGTTCTGATTGTTTTTCAGAAATTGTTCCAGATTATTGGACCCTCTCTCAGGGCTGGTAAATCACTCTCAGGTATAAAGCTCATCGCTTCCAGTTGGTTTGGTAAGGGAAATGCATGTCCAGTGGTCCTGCTCTGAGTGATGATATTGGAAACAGCCAATTTAGGATCATCATACATGTGGTGAGGGAGGGAGAGTTTGAGCGATTAATTCACTGGGGTCTATTACCTAAATTATGCAATGGAACGTGTGACTAGTTGCTTTGGATCCATTGCAACCTCGTCTATCACAATTGTCCCACAACATACCTTCTAACACTTCACAGATCTCCTGCCTTCTTTCTCTTGAGTACCCTAGGCTGCAGTCCATCCGTCCCAGGGATTTCTTGTTTTTCAACCCCCTGGAGGCTACCTAGAAGATCAGTTTAATAATCCTTGTATTTTGGTACAGTGCCTTTCACATTGAGAGACCATCTTAAAGCGCTTCATAGGAAATACTGTAAAGTCAGTGACTGTATTTTGTAGGCATGACTCAGTAGCCAATTTGCTCGCAGCAATGCCGCACAAACCTCGTCCCACTTGAACAGGTAGATGAAATGGGACCTCGGTTTAACATCTCATCTGAAGGACGTTACCTCTAGCAATGCAGCACATCTCCAGCACTGCACTAGAAGGTCAGACAAAATGAGTTCAAAGTCCGATTGTGGGGCTTGAACCTGCAACCTTCTGACAGAGGCAAGAGTGCTACCAACTTAACTAGGCTGACACTATCAACTTTTCTAATAAGGTACAGTTTGTCAGGCTGGCTAAGCCTCGCTTCTGTGTTTGAAGTTGGGACTTGGTACTCACATACTCTGATGCTCCTGTGCAGTGCTGGGGGAGTGCTGCATTGTTGATCCTGTCTGTTTCGGTGGACGTTAAAGATCCTGTGGCACTATTGGAAAAGAAAAGGCAGGTTCTCTTGGTGCCCTGGCCAACAATCCCCCAAATAAAATTTGTCATCCATTACATGGCTGTTTGTGAAACATTGCTGTGTGCAAATTGGGTGCCGAATTTGCCCACAAAATACACAGTCAAAAGTTACTTTACAGTATATCCTGTCTTTACAGTATATCCGCTTTGTGACATTTCAACATGATAAGGCGCAATATCAACTGTAAATATCACTGTAATGTCAAATTTCACTTTGCTAATACCAAAGTCCCAGAACTCAAACAATACATGTTGGTGCCCTGAAAATAAGAATGATCTTATTTTACATACACAGTAATACTGATCTAAGTTTGTTTTCTTACAGATGAACAAGTGATCATGGGCAATAAATTGCTGGTGTATATTAGGTAAGTTTTACACACATTTATTTGCAGTACACGCTAACATTGTCCGAAGTGTGTCAGCGTGACTCAAGTGGTAGCATTCTCGCTTCTGAGTCAGAAGGTTGTGGATTCAAATTCCACATCAAGACTTGGAATCCCATAGTCTAAATTGGCACTCTAGTGCAGTGTAAGTATTATAATCTGAGTTAATAATGCTTACACTGCACAACTGCTTTGACAATGGGGTGTTGAATTGTCAGAGGTGCTGTCCTTCAGTCTGCCTGTTCAGGTAGAAGTTAAAGATCCCATGACACTATTCAAAAAGAGAAAAGAGTTTCTCTTTCCTGGTGTCCCAGGCAACAAATTGGCAAAATAAAATTATTCATTCACTCCATGTCTGTTTGTGGGACATTGATGTGTGCAACTGGCAGCCATGGTTCGCCTATCGAACAGTAATCCTTTGAGCGCTTTGAGACGTTTCAACGATGTGATAAGGCGCATTATCACATATAAGGGTTCTTGTTATTTTTATTATTATTGTTGTTAAAGTACAGTCCCAGTCAAGGAAATACTGACTCACTGACAAGTTTTATCCTTTTGTGTGCTGACATTCCAATTTTCCATTCTTATGATACTCTTAAAAATATTCAGTGATTGCATTGTTCAGAATTGATGTGTGTATGCCTTGAACAAAATCACAGTATAAGTATAAAAACATTCCCCTTTTTAATGTTCTCTCTGCGCTGTTGTATTGTGCACCATTCCTCTAACAATCCAGCCTGCCCTTCAGGCATTCAACATCTCCTGATACCTGTGTTGCTTTGGCTGCTGCTGCTGCTGAATATATATTTAAAAAGGAAAAAATCCTTCTCCCTATGGGAGAATGGCAAGCCCACATTTGCTGTTTGCCCCGGTCACCTGGTTCACATCTGGAGCAGTGAATGCTATTTGTGGCCTTCAAATACACCATTTTTTATCTCATATCATTGGCAAAAAGGTTGGATCTTTTTGTGAATATTGCTTTGAAGATGTAAGCCCATTAATCAGGTACATGGATCAAATGGAAACATTTCAGCCTTGGGTTTTTCTACTCGTGTTGAAGTTTTACGATAGTTGAGGACTGGGAACGTCAGATTGCATCCTTTCAGCTGATGAAGTAGATCTGTCTGAGTCGTTCCTTTTTTTAAACTGAAAACAAACTATAGTGTGTTACAAAACGTAAAAGATTACAGATGCTAGAAATCTGAAACAAAAACAGAAGTCGCTAGGAACACTCAGCAGGTCAGGCAGCATCAATGGAGAAAGGAAAGTGAGTCAACATTTCAGGTCCACGACCCTTCATCACAACTCAGTAAAATGTATCCGGGAGCTCTGGCACTTGCTGATGAAATAGTGTGCATATAGGCACATATTCTGGTCTAACCTGTAGCACACATATTTCTGCTGCAGTCTTTTTGTAAACCAATCTATTTGGACCCATTCACGTTTCTTTTATCTTAAGATAAGCAGCACATCACAGCGTATTGTGTTGTCACACTACCACCATATGTGGCATTGATGTTGTCATTTGATGTCCTCTGGGCAGCAGATGCAATAAGTGCTCTCTCACTGGGGGATTGGATACGCCGCAGTGTAAGGCTAAACCATAATGCAAAACGTGAACCTTTGATTCAGGACTGTGGAGCTTTCACTCAGCTGAGAAGTACCTTTGTGTTGTTGTTCACCCAGAAAAAGCGGCAATATCAAGCAGCAACATCAAGGTACACTTCCAACAACCAATCTTTTTAATCAATTAATGTACTGTAAAATTCATCCTACAGCGTTAACAAACCTAACCTCTGTTTTGGGGATCCAAATATCGCCCTGTATAGAGTCTCCACTCGGCCCCAGCAGTCCGTGCCAGTATTTATACTCCTCATGAGTCTTCACCCACTCCTTACTCCCTCGTATTCCTCTTTCTTCCTCCTATTCCCCTTTCTTCATGTGAAGATGTAGCTCGCTCTTGAATTCAAATACACTATCTGATTCACCCATCGCTTCAGTCAGTGAGTTTCACAATCTCACAACCAATTTGTGAAATAGTTCCTCCTCAATTCTCTTTTTGATGCCTTAGTCTTATACTTGTGTCCCTAGATTACAGACTTCCCAGCCAGTGGAAACAACCTATTGATATTAACCTTATCAAAACCTTTTAGAATATTAATCACCTATTAGATTTCCCTTAAACATCTCTTCTCTAGCGAGAAAAGGCGTATCCAATCTGTCCTGATAGTAGTAACTGTCAGACATGGTATCATCCTTGTAAACATATGCTGTTTCCATCGTTGCTTTATCCTTCTTATAGTGTGGTCTATCCAAGATTTTGTATAAATTCAACATCACCTCCTCACTTTTATATTCTATGCCTCTGGATATATATGGCTCTCTTCCACTATATATTTTACCCACAAATATATACAGTCAATTCACTTTGCAGTCTATTCTGTGAAGCGCTTTAAGACGTCTAGAAGACATGAAAACGCTATATCAAATGCAAGGATTATTATTATTATATTTGTTCTCACAAAAAAACAGTCCATCTACAGTTTACTCCATGAAATGCTGGGAGTCGTCCTCCTGACATGAAAGATGTTGGATCAAATGTAAGGTTTTTTTTATAGACAGTTTTCACCGATTTGCTTTTTAGAAAGCCCTGAGTTCCTGTAATTCTTCAGGATCAATGATCTAGTATTATGATCTTGTTCTTGTTGCAGCCCTTTCCCCGTTGCTGCCTTATGTTGTTGATGAGGGGAGTGTACCCTTTAGCTCTGTGGGTAAAGTCTCGCAGAATTATTTATATGAGGTTTGAATTGTGCCAAATGTGAACTGTTTAGTCTTCCAGGAACAGCCTAGTATAATTAGTATTGAAACAGTGCAAAGTACATCCCTTCTGATCAATTTCAATCTGTTACCATCATATGGCTGAGAATTATTGATTGTTCTTTTGATCAGATTGTGCCTTTCTTCCCCAAAGCATGAACTGGAGTCCACGCATATCGAGCTAGGGTCAGAGCATATAATAGGATTCCACTGGCGGGTTGGTTGGTAACCCGAGGACACCGATTTAAAATAGTTGTTAAAAGAAACAGAAGAAGGCCATGTTCACACAGCGAGTTGTTCGGATCTGGAATGCATTGCCTGAAAGGGTGGTGAAAGCCAATTCGATAACAACTTTTAAGAGAAGTAGATAATTATTTGGGGATGACAATTTTGCAGGGTTATGGGGAGAGAGCAGGGGAATGGGATTGAATTAGACAGCTCTTTTCAAAAAGCCGGCACAGACACAATGCGCCGAATGGCCTCCTTCTGTGCTGTATAATTCTATGAAGAGAGGATGTGACCTTTTCAGATTTGTTTATGCAGCAGCTCTCAGCATTTCTACCTAGAAATGGCATTGATTTATATAGACACATACATATATATATATATACACACACATATATACTAGTTGAACCCGTTGCAGCTTTGCTTGCAACCAAAGGATCCAATATGGAATGTAGATTGACACACAGACAGATGTTTCATCTTTATCTATACTCATCTGGGAGGACTCCTGTGGGAAGCCTCCTTTTGGAAGGACCCAGTGTTTTAAAAATATAATTTTGTTGTTGTTGCCGCGACTTAGCTTCGTTTGTGTTCTTTATTTTGTTCCCGCCACTTGGCTATGTGCATGCTCTGTGACGCAGGATACCATAGTATCACAGTCAGCCGGCACAGCCACCAGGTGTTAACTGCAGCGCATGCGTATGTGCTCTGTGAAGCACAATGCCACATCGTCACTTTGACTCAGAGGCCACCAGGTGTAACTGCAGCGAAAAATGAAAAACTGAAAATAACTCATGGATGATAGGAGATACCCGAAAATAAATATGCCCATGTCACTCCCAAACACTCTGCAAGACCTTTCCGATGTGGTATAAATCGTGTCTCTGCGATAATCAGTTATTGAGATCCTTCTAGAAGCACAGACAGACATTGTTTTAATAGTATAAGAAGATAGATATATAGATAGAATCATAGAATTTTACAGAACAGAAGGAAGCCATTTGGTCCATCGTGTCTATACAGGCTCTTTGAAAAGAGCTATCCAATTCAATCCCACTCCCCCACTCTCTCCCCTTAACCCTGCAAACTTTCAGGTAATGCATTCCAAAACCGAACAACTCGCTGTATGAAAACATTTCTCCTCACCTCCCCTCTGTTTCTTTTAACAACTGTTTTAAATTGGTGTCCTCGGGTTACGGACCCACCCGCCAGTGGAATATAATATTGAGCTCTTGAGTTATAGTAATCCTTGCATTTGATATAACATCTTATATCTTTGAGACATCTCAAAGCACTTCACAGAATATATTGTAAAGTGTAGTGACTGTATAATTTGAGGGCAAAACTCGGCAGCAAATTGCGCACAGCAGTATCCCTCAAACAGTCATAGATTGAGTCACTACATTTTTTTTTATCAGAAGAAATGTAACATCCATGGCTCCATCATTGTCAGTCCTATCTGTAGCTCCTCACCCTCAGAGATGTACAGCTGGGTTAAAATGAGAATGGCAGTGCGATACTGGCAGCAGGGTGTTGGGAGCATGGGTTATGAATTCTGGGTGTTGTATTCTCTTTCAGCTGCTGCCTTGCTGGCCGAGCCTACCCTCTGGGTAATATTCCTGAGGACCTGGTACCACTGGTCAAGAATCAGGTGAGTAACACTTTCTTGGTTCACCGGGTGACTGACACATGTGGAAACCCATCACAATGCTTAATAATAATAATCCTCACTTTTGATATAGCGCCTTATCACCTCTTCGAGACGTCTCAAAGCGCTTCACAGAATATACTGTGAAGTGAATTGACTGTATATTTTGTGGGTGAAATGTGGCAACCAAACTGTCATGTATTGAGTGGGCAAATTATTTATTTTTACATTTTTTTTAAGAGAATCGAAGCAAGAAAAAGGGAACACATTTTTACAGTATCTTTGTCATTAGTCACTACCCTTAGAGCTATTTTAATTTTGTCCCACAAACAGACATGAGGCGAGGCGAATAACCATTTGAAATGTGGGCTTTTTGGCCATGAGATCCAGGAGAAACTCTCTTCTGCTTTGAATTGAACAATTTTGGAGTGAAAGGTACATGAAAATTAGCCAGTGCCCTCAGAGCTGACAGCAACAACAACAACCTCCTTCTTTGCATAGCATACAGTGAAGGAGAGCTTGTTGCTGTTGTTGTCATAGCATGCAAGGAAGGGCAATCTGGATACCAAGAATGTGTATTGAGCATGTGGCAACCCCACATCTGTGATATTACAGGTATGGGGGGGGGGGTGGTTCTTATCGTAGTGGTTAGCACGGTCTCTTTGTAAATGAGAGGATCTGAATTTGACTCCTGAGCAGGGTAAAACATTCAGATACCAAGTGCGAAGAGCCCCTCGTCTTCTGTATCTCCAAGATAGACAACATCCACCTCTGCCTCCTCCTCACCCACCTTTTTCGACAACCCCCCACCCTCCCTTGGCCTACAGCCTACATTCCTTTGCCCCCATCTTTCCCCCCTCCCTTTCTGCCACCATCACCTAGAGTTATAGAATTATACAGCACAGAACAAGGCCATTCGGCCCATCGTGCGTGCAGCGGCTCTTTGAAAGAACTTTCCAAATCAATCCTACTCCCCCGCGCTCTCCCCATAGCCCTGCAAACTTGTCCTCCCCAAATAATTATCTACTTCTCTCTTAAAATGTGTTATCTAATCGGCTTCCACCACCCTTTCAGGCAATGCATTCCAGATCCGAACAACTCGCTGGGTGAAAAGATTTCTCCTCACCGCCACTCTGTTTCATTCAATACCTATTTTAAATTGGTGTCCTCGGGTTACCGACCCACCCGCCAGTGGAAATAGTTTCTCCTTGTTCACCCTATCAAATCTACTCATTATTTTGAAAACTTCTATTAAGTCTTCTCTTAACCTTCTCTGCTCCAAGGAGAATAATCCTCGCTTCTCTAGCCTCTCCTGATAACTGAAGTCCCTCATTCCTGGTACCATCCTGTAAATCTCCTTTGCACCCTCTCCAATGTCTTAACATCCTTCCTAAAGTGTGGTGCCCAGAACTGAACACAGTCTCTGGCTGAGGACTAACCAGTGTTTTATAAAAGTTCATCATAACTTCCTGACTTTTGTATTCTATGTCCCTATTTATAAAGCCTGGTATCCTGTATGTTTTTTTAACAGCTTTATCTACCTGTCCTGCCACCTTCAAAGATTTAGTTATATGAACCCCCAGGTCTCTCTGTTCCTTCACCCCCTTTAAGATTGTACCATCAGCTTATATTGTCTCTCCTCATTCTTCCTGCCAAAATGCATCACTTCACATTTCTTTCATCACATTAACTTTCATCTGCCACGTGTCTGCCCATTTTACCAGTCTATCTATGTCCTCTTGTGGTCTGATACTATCCTCCTCACTGTTTACTACTTTTTCTGCTTTGTATCATCTGCAAACTTAGAAATTGTACTCCCTATACCCAAGTTGAAGCCCACCGCCTGCTGCCTCGAACTCTTCCCCACCCAGCTGCTGGTCACTCAACTCCCACTCCTCTGCCCACTATTGTCTGACACAATCAACCAGTCCATAAGGCTCTGTCCTATTCCTCTCCTTAAAAAAAACCTACCCTTAATCCCTCCAGCCTCACAAACTTCAGATCCATCTCAAATCTGCTCCTCCTGGGCAAAATTTTGGAGCCCTTTCTTGCAAATCAACTTTGCTCATAGCTCTCCCTTCACTCCCTACAAACCAGACCGTTTTTTTGCCTTGTCCACCCTACAGACACAACGCTCGTCAATGTAACAAATGACATCCTCTCTCTCTTTGACCAGGATTCCCTCTGCCATTTTGTTCTCCGCTGCGTTCAACACCGTCAATCACGCTATCCTCCTCCACCGTCTATCCTCCCTCATCCACCTTAGTGGGACCTCACTTGCATGGTTCAAGTCCTAGACCTAGTCGTGGAGTTCTGTAGCTCAGTGGTTCGAGCACTCGCTTTGCAAGTGAGAGACCTGAGTTCAATTCCAGGCAGGGCGAAACCTTGGGCAAGTTTTCTTACTCCACACGCCTAATAATAATCCCTCCAAAAAACAAAAACAATAATTAAATTGGTCATTTTCAATCTACGCGACTGTTTGTGGGTCATTGCTGTGCGCAATTGGCTGCCGCGTTCGCCCACAAATATACAGTCAATTCACTTTACAGTGTGTTCTGTGAAGTGCTTTGGGACGTCCTCCTGACGTGAAAAGAGCTATATCAAATGCAAGGATTATTATTATTATAGTTAACTAACTGCCAACAAGACATCTTGACAAATGGTTTCTCCTCCCTCCCCTGCCTGGTCACCTGTGGAGTTACCCAAGGCTCCATCCTGTCAAGCTCTCCGGGTGCTACCCCGTTTGAAGGGCGCAATGTAAATGCAAGTTGTTGTTATAAGGATGGAGTTCTTTATCACAGTGGTTAGCGCGATCTCATAAATGAGAGGATCCAGGTTTGATTCCTGAGAAGGGCAAAATCTTAGGCAAGTTTTCTTACTCCACACGTGTCTGTAAAGTGAATTGACCTTATATTTATGGGCGAAACGTGGCAGCCAATTGCGCACAGCAGTGTCCCACAAACAATCGTGGATTGAAAATGACCAGTTTATTATTGTTTTGTTTTGGAGGGATTATTATTAGGCGTGTGGAGTAAGGAACTTGGCCAAGGTTTCGCCCTGCCTGGAATTGAACCCAGGTGTCTCACTTGCAAGGCAAGTGCTCTAACCACTGAGCTACAGGACTCCAAGATCCTCCAAGATAAGGAAAAGAAAAGGGCCAAGGACGAAGCCTTCGGGTAGCCAAAGGTGACTGGGTGAGGCAGGAGAAGAAACCGTTTGCCGAGATTTATAGTTGGCTGTTAGTTAACCAGGATTCGAACTGCGAGTGCGGTCCCACTAAGATGGATGAGAGAGTAGAGGCAGTGGAGTAGGATGGAGTGATCTACTGTGTCAAACCCAGCGGAGAGGACGAGGAGGCTGAGGGAGCCCTGGTCACAGAGAGAGAGGACGTAATTTGTTACTTTGATGAGCGCTGTGTCTGTACTGTGGGCAGGTGAAAAACAGACTGGACAATTTTGAGTATGGAGTGGAGGGAGGGGTGTGAGCGAAGTTGATTTGCAACCATGTTCCAAAACTTTGCCCAGGAAGGGCAGGTTTGAGATGGGTCTGAAGTTTGTGATGTTGGAGGGATTGAGGGTAGGTTTGTTGAGGAGAGGACTGATGACAGTTGTTTTGAGGGGGAGTGGGACAGAGCCTGAAGAGAGGGATGGGTTGATTGTGTCAGTGAGCAGAGGAGAGGAAGTTGAGTGACCAGGAGCTGGGTGCAGAGGGGGTCGAGGCAGCAGGTGGTGGACTTCTTCTGGGTTATGATGAGGGAAAGGGAGGATGGAGAGATGGGGACAAAAAAGTGTAGTGTGTGGAACCTGATAGGAGGATAGCGTGGTGAAAGAGGCTTGAGGTGGGTGTATGGGTTGTAGGCATCATGGGGGGAAGGAGGAGGCGGCCTATTTATGGTGTAACTACTTTACTGTGAAATGCTTTGAGACTTCCCCCTGATGTGATAGGCATTTCAAATGTAAACAATTTGTGTGAAGTAGTAGGTGAGGCCAGTGAGGAACAGACATCGATTCCTGAGAGATTGTGAAGGTCTGGCCATTGGTGTGGATATTCAGTGGATTATGGGTGTTACCCCTTATGAGGTAATGTGCACAAAATCATTGATCTCAGACTGGATGAACTATAGGGTAGAAGAAAAAGTTACTGAGAGATACTATGGTTGTTGTAGATAGCTTCATGTTGATGTTATGGTCAATATAGTAGGAGGTACTTCTACTTTAAATCCTAATATCTGATTTTGAAGTGTGCTTTCTATACGTAATTATCTCAATTTCCTATCTCTTCTGTGCTGCAGCCTCAGAATTTCCATCTATGAAAGTATTGTTCAGTAGAAAACATCCTCATTGAAGGTGAGACACTCTTTGACTTGTGCATTTTGTCTGTTTTGGGATTCAGGTGTTTGAATTTCTGATCCGCTTACACTCCACTGAAGTAGCTCCTGACGAGGAGATCTACCCTCATATCCGAACACTCCTTCACTTCGATACCCGGGAGTTCCTCAATGTATTGGCCCTGGTAAGTTGTGCTTTGTTTTAAAGCTTTGTCTTTCAAGACAGTTGATTGAAGCAACAGTGCATGGGTGCCAGGGAGCGGAAGAATGTAGGTTTAATCTCTACCTCTATTTTCCTTTTTACATGGTCTGCTGACTCCTGACCAACTGTGGTGTTATAGGGAAGGCGGGAAAGTTACTGTCCCGATATCACAGGACCAACAACAAATTACATTTGTATAGTGCCTTTCATGTCAGGAGGACGTCCCAGGGAGCCCAAGGAATCGTATCCCAGTGGAAGGGAGGGAAATTAAACCCCTTCAGAAGAGGAGGGTGAGGAAAAAGTGAAAATAGCAAAGTGGAGCAATGTTTTTTTTATTGCAATAAGGTTTCTTTTCACAACTTTTTAGAAGCATATTAACTGTGTCTCAGTATCTAAAATTGTGAATGTTTTGAAGGGTTCAATAATGTATAGAATATTTGCAGGCCAAACCTTGGGTTTTCAGTTGGTGAGACCTTGATATGAATGACATAAAGAAAGCACTTGGGCTCGAAGGCGTTATCTCTGTGTCAGGTGCTCCCCAGTCTGTGTTTAGTGTCTCTGCTGAAGGCTTTCAAAGTTTCTGTTTCTTTTCAATTCAGATATATAGCTGAGTTCTTTTATTGTCAAGAAATATTCAGCATAAGTTCTTACAATAACTCAAGTACCAAGTGTAGAATATGGTTCGATTCAAACCATTTAAAATATGGTGAGTGGATAGAGCTGAGGACAGACAGCAGAAGTTACTCTGCTTCAGTTCTAACCCTTGGCAATGTGCTGAAAGTTTTGCGTTTCGCCCACAAAATACAGTCAATCCTCTTTACATTGTATCCTGTGAAGCACTTGAAACATCTCAACGATGTGTAGGAAGCGCTTTAAACTAATAAGGGTGTGTAGAGTGGGGTGTTTGGCTAAATTGCTGTGCGCAATTGACTGCCGCGTTCACCCACAAATATACAGTCAATTCACTTTACAGTATATTCTGTGAAGCGCTTTGGGATGTCTAGAAGTCGTGAAACGCGCTATATCAAATGCAAGGATTATTATTATTATATTATAGAAGTAACAGTAAACTAAAGATAATAAGAGATAAGAGTAAAGGTCAGAGTACAAAGGTGATAAAGAAAACATAAATCCTCCGAGAAGAAAAATGGTTATAGGAAGCATAAACAAAAAGTGTGACAAGCCAAAAAGTGTGAGAAAAACACCATATGGGCAGGGTGAGGACAGCTACCTGAGTACACAAATGCACTTGGCATAAGAAATAAAACAAGTGAGTTAGAAGCACAAATTCAGCTTAAACCTTATGAATGTAATAGCCATTACAGAGACCTTGCTACAAACTGGGCATGATGACTGGGAGCTAAATATTCCAGTCTATAAGATATTTAGAAAAGACAGAGAAATTGGGGAAGGAGGAGTAGCAATATTGATAAAAGACACAATTACAGCAATAGAAACAAAGGATTTCAGTGAGGGTGATCAGGCAGAACACTGGGTAGAATTAAGGAACAGCAAAGGAGGCAAGACTGGTGGGAGTTGTCTACAGACCTCCAGATAGTAGTGATGTAGTGGGAGAATGTATAAATACAGAGATCAGGAAAGCATGTAGCAAAAGCAATGTGGTTGCAATGGGAGATTTTAATTTTTACATAGACTTGGAGAAGCAGAATAGCTCAAGCAGGCAAGGCAACACATTTCTAGAATGTATTCAGGATGGTGTTCTAGAACAATATGTTTTACATACAAGAGAACATCCCATATGAAATTTGGTGATGGGCAATGAACCAGAATTAGTTAACAATCTGACGGTAAGGGAACATCTTGCAAATTGTGTCCATAATATGATTGAATTTGATATACAGTTTGAGAGGGAGAAGAAAGAGTCGCAAACTAAGATTTTAAATAAGGCAAACTTCGAAGGGATGAGAAATTAATTAACTGGAGTAAACTGGGCTGAATTGTTAAAGGATGAATCCACAGACATACAGTGGGAAGTATTCAAAGAAGAATTGGGTACATACCCCTAAAACACAAAAGCTTCGCTTGTGTAGGTCAGGAACCATGGTTGACAAATGAGATAAGAGTCAGCATCAAACTAAAATAAAAGGCTAACACTCTTGCAAGAAAAAGTGAAAATCCAGCAGAATGGGAGAGCTATAACAAGCAACAAAGAGAAACAAAGAAAGTAATAAGAGGTGCAAAAAGGGAATGTGAGAAAAAATGTGCAAGGGATATCAAGGACAATGGTAAACATGTTTATAAATATATTAAGAAAAAGAGAGTGGTAAAGGACCTGATAATTTCCACCCCAGGGTAGTAGTGGAAGAAATTGCAGGTGTGTGAGTCATAATTTTCCATAGCTCTACATATTTGGAAATTGTGGCTTGGATTGGAGAATTGCAAATGTCACTCCATTATTTAAGCAGGGAGGGAGAGAGAAACCAGGAAACCATCTTACAGACCTGTTAGCTTCTAACTTCATTTGTGGGGAGGTTACTGGAATCTCATCAGGGACAGAGTGACTGAGCAATTGGACAAGTATGAGCTAATCAAAGATTTGTGAAGGGTAGGTCATGTCTGATGGATCTAACTGAATTTTTGGAGGTCACTAACAATTGTGGATAAGACAGTGTCTATGCATGTCGTCTACATGGAATTCCAGAAGACACTTGATAAGGTTCCACACAAGAGGTTCTTAGCATAAACAAAACGCGTAGAATCGGATGAAACCTTGCAGCATGGCTTAGTAATTGGTTGGGAAAGAGGAAACAGAGAGTAGGGATAAAAGGAACGTTCTCTGATTGGCAGGACGTGACACGTGGTATTCCCTAGCGTTCTGCACTGGGGCCTCAGCTTTTCACCAGACTGGAATGAAGGAATACAGCTCCAAATTTGCAGATGACACAAAGTTAGGAGGCACAGTAAATTGTGTAGATGGGAGCAGAAAGTTACAAAGGAATTTAGACAGATTAAGTGAGTGGGCAAAACTGAGGCATTCAATGTACAGAAGTGTGAGTTCATCCACTATGGACCCAAAAATGGCAAAACGGAATATTTTCTAAATGGTGAGAACTGTGGAGGAGCAAAGGGATTTGGGTGTCCATGTACCCAATCACTAAAAACAAGCTCGCAGTTACAAAAAGTTATCAAAAATGCTAAAAGCGATATCTTTATCTCAAAGGCGCGGGAATACAAAGGAGAGGAAATTGCCTCTGGTAGGGGAATCCAGAACAAGGGGGGCATAATCATAAAACTAGAGCTAGGCAATTTAGGAGTGAAATTAGGAGCCAGTTTTTCACCCTAATGGTAGTGGAAATCTGGAACTCTTCTCTCCAAAAGGCTATGGATGCTGGCTCCATTTACATTTTTAAGACTGAGGTGGACAGATATTTGTTAGGTCAGGGTACGGGACAAGGGTGGGTAATTGGACTTGAGGTACATTTCAGCCATGACCTTATAGAACAGACTCAAGGGATTGAATGGCCCACTCCTGTTTCTATGTGATAAGGCACTATATCAAAAGCTGGACAACCACTGACCAGGAGGTTTGTATTTTCAACATTTTTACTTTAATTTGGGTCAGCCTGACACATGAGGAAACCCATCACTGAGTATTCAAACCAGAATTGCACATATCCTATACATCACATCAAATTCCTGCATCTGGAATGGAATGTGCTCTCTCCCCCTGGAGAGGATAATGCACAGGTTGGCAAGAGGACAGGCTTGGGTTCGCCCGTGTGCACATGCATTGAGTATACTTCTGGAGTTTAAGCAGCTAAAACCGCATACCTTGCCATTGTCATGCTGCTTGTCCAACTAGGACCACTCTAGCCTTTAGGACTTTGGCTTGCAGGATGGTAATATTCTTGTGGCTGGAAATTTTCACATTGCAACCACTCACTAGGGTGAAAAAATGTTTTCTCACCTTCCCTTTAAAAAATGTTTTGATTCCTATAAACTTGCGTTTTAGATAGAATTGTTGGTCTGCCGGCGCAGCTCTGTTGCAATATGAGTGATCACGTTGAAGGCAGATGCTGGAAATGGTCCCTTTCTGACTCACTGAAATTAGCCCTCTTTCAGTTGAGTATCTTCACCTTTAATTGTTCCTTGTCCCTTTTCATAAGTACTCTAAACCTAATGATGTTGTGATCACTGTTGTCCAGATGATCTCCTGCTGAAACCTGCTCCACTTGCCCCACTTCATTCCCCAGAACTAGATCCAGCACTGCTTCCTTCCTTGTTGGACTGGAAACGTACTGCTCCAGAAAATTATCTTGCACACATTTCAGGAATCCTTCCCCTCCTTGCCCTTTACACTGTTATTTTACACGATTACGGCCCTGGAAAGGGACAATGTGTTAGAGGGTTCAAAAACAGAATCTATTTGGTTAGTGTTAAGGAGCAGAAAAGAAGCTGTTACTCTGTGTATACTATAGATCACCAAACAGTGGGAAGGAGATAGACGAGCAAATCTGCAAGCAGATTTGAGAAAGATGCAAAACCAATAGAGTAGTGATAATGGGGGACTTCAATTTTTTCTTTTTTTCTTTCCCTATCCCTCCTGAATACATTGTAATCAGGAATATTCAGCTCCCATTCCTGCCCTTGTTTGAGCCAGGTCTCTGTTATTGCCACTACATCATAACCCCATGTGGCAACTTGAGCCACAGTTCACCAATCTTATTTGTCACACTCCATGTATTTACTCATATGCACTCTAAGACCGACTAAGTCTGTTATGCATTTTTCTCTCTTGTCTAATCCCTCCTTTTTCTGGATTACTTCTTATTACATTGCTATTCGTCTCTCCCAGCCCTCTACATAACTTGTTTTTCCTCTCTAATGCTACATCCTGATTCCCTTCCCCCCTCAAAATGAATTTAAACCTTTCCCCATAGCACTAGTTAACCTCCCTGCAAGGACATTGGTCCCAGCCCTGCTCAGGTGTAACCCATCCACCTTGTACCGGTCCCATCTGCCCCAGAACTGGTGCCAGTGATCCAGGAACCTGAAGCCCTCCTTTCTGCACGATTTCTCCAGCCATGTATTTATGTGTTTGATCCTGCTGGTTTGATTCACTTGCATGCGGCACTGGGAGTAATCCAGAGATCACCACCTTTGGGGTCCTACTTTTTAGCTTTTTCCCTAGTTTCTGATACTATCCCTGTAGGGTCTTAGCCCTTTTTTTCCCTACACACATAGAGGAGATACACGCAGACACACTCACAAACATATACATACAGAAGAGAGAGAGACACAAAGACACAATCACACAGATACTGACAAACACACACTCAGAGAGAAACATACAGAGGAGTGAGACACACTCACATAAAGACACTCACGAACACACAGCGAGAGAGAAAGACACACAGATATATTCACAAGCACAAAGAGAGGAGAGAGAGAAACAATCACAACAGCAGGGCCTCCGAGTGGAGCGAAGTCCATTTCCCACTTGTGCCACATTGCGCATGTGCTGCGTCAGATAAACAGTGCAAGAAACCCAGGGCCAGAAACTACATTTTCTAGAAAGTTTTTAGCGGATTCCGCGGAAGAATTGCAACCGCGCATTTCTATTGGCCCAGCTCATGGAATACGTGGCATAATCTATTGGGAAAACTATTAACAAACTGGAGATTGGGAATCAGATCTGGGTTACTTCATCACAGCAGAATAATTATCTTGTTCAAACAATTGCAGATTATACTATAGGTCAGTGTGGGGGTGGGAGGGGCGGTGGGGGGTGGTAGGGGGGGAGAGGAGTGGGGGGAGGGAGGGGGAGAGAGGAGTGGGGGGGAGGGAGAGGGGGGCCAAGGAGTGGGAGGGAGAGTGCCTTCTCGCCCCCCCCTTTCTCTCCCCCAACTTTCTCCCCCCCTTTCTCCCCCACCCTTTCTCTCCCCCTTTCTCTCCCCCTTTCTCTCTCCCCCCCACCTTTCTCCCCCCCAACTTTCTCCTCCCCAACTTTCTCCCCGTCTCTCTCTCTTCCCCCCTCTCTCCCCCACCACTCTCGCTTCCCCCTCCCCCCCAATCACTCTCCTAAGCGCAGGCCACTATCTGCAGTGGTTGCTAAGGACGTCGCTTGCCGTTGGAATGTTGGAAATGGTCTCGGGATGGATATGGCCCACGCTGGATGTGGCCTGCGGACCTTTCTCAAATAGGGAATGTAACTCATGGCAGCCAAAAGTGTTGACCACCCTGCTAGTGGTCACCACAAATATTTATATGATTTGAGCATTAACTATTTTTTAATATGCAGAATACGAATCTTCTTGTAACTAGCTATTGTCTTACTGTCTTTTTGGATTGCTTATTTGAACTTTGTGTTCAAAAGTAGATGTGAGACCTGAAGTGAGACTTGAAGAGTAGGGAGGGGATATGGCATCTCCCAGGTGTTTGTCGTGGTGACTGGTGACAGTAGGCCATTCTCCTGTCCTGTTGATGCTGTCAGGAGAATGAGGAACAGGGGAAAACATACAAAAGTAAGGGGGAGAAATTGTGCTAAATTTTCTCTAAAGGCTCTCTGCACTGTGCACTATTATCCCCAGTTCCACCATTCACAAGGTCCAGCTAATCCCAAACTCTGCCGCCCGTATCCTCATCTGCACCAAATTTAGCACGCCTGTTACTATAATCCTCTCCATTGACTCCCCGTCTCCAAACGGAACAACTTCATGGTCCACACCATCGCATACAAATCCCTTCTCCCCAGCACCTCCCTACCTCTCTGATCTGCTTGTACCTCTCTACTCTGCCCACCCTTTTGCTCAGTGCCTGTTGTGCGTTCCCCATCTCCAAGATCGGTAGCCGTGCCATCAATCAGTACTTCCCTATCTCTGGAACACCCTGTGTCAATCCCTCTGTCTCACCTCCCTCTCCATCTATCTTCAAATCCCACCTGATAAACCTACCTTTTAGACCGCATTTATGGTCACGTCTCTCCTTCCTCCGAACTTGGTGACCAAACCCACTACTGAGAAGAAAATTCCCAGTGAAGGAAACTGTCTAAATGCAAGTTGTTGTTAGCTTTGTGATTTTATGAGGGTTGAATACTTAGATTGTCCTTGTCACTGATTGTGGAGCAGATTGACGACAGTTGTAGAGGTATGCACATCTTGCACTCCACCTAGAAGAGGAAAAGCTTTGGTAAGGGGATAAATACGAAAAATCAGGATCAAATAGGAAGCCTGAAAGCCTCTTCTTCCCCTCTTGCCCACCCTGAAGAAGCTGTTCAGTTTCTGTTGCACCCACCACCTGTTGATGTCAAGTGAAATACCATGGATATGTTCTGTGTCTTATTTAAACAGACCTTTGAAAACTTTCAGAGTGACAAGCAAGCAGTGGAGCATCAACAGAGGATTGTGGACATCCTGCTGAAGGTACATTTATCACTGCAAGCTTCAGAGGGACTCTCACACTTAGTAAAGCTCTGGCACAAAAGTATAGCAACTCAAAATTGGGTTGAAAAAGAGAATGAACATGAGTTAGCAAACATATTAAATGACTGTTTACTGGAGGTTTTTACCAGGGAGGATGCTAAAAATGCTCCCCCCACCCAAACAACAAACAACACTTTAATATAAATGAGACTGAGATTCTGGTTAGGCTCAAGGGGCTAAAAACCAGCAAATCCCTTGGGATAGATGAACTGTAGCCCAGTGTCTGGAGAAAGTCGAAGCAGATCTGAGCAGCACTGATAGGCTGATTATTCCCACTGATTATGTGGGAGTCAATTAGGACGGGGGAGCTTCTAACAGACTAGAAGCAGCAAACGTTGTTCTCATATTCAAGAAAGGCGACAAAACTAAACCTGGCAACAATAGAACATTGGCATGACCTCCATAAGAGGAAAAATAATGGTGGCAATTATCAGACTAGGTGAAATTTCAGGTCTCTGCAGAAAAAGTAAGATGTCAAGAATCTCTATCCAATGCCTGAACTTGACTGAATACTAATACTCCCAATGGCACAGTTGGTGACGTCACTGCTTAGTATATGAACTATAAGGATGAGTTAGAATTCTGATGCCTGAAATTTCATCCAGTTTTAGCAATTTTCTTCGAACATTTTGTCTTAAAATTTTAGATCCTGTAGAATTGTGGACAATTCTTAAATTTAGTTATAATTTAGAAGTCCATTATTCCACATTTCTCAAACAGCACTGACATTAAGATTGAATTTGAGGTATTACACTAAGTTAGCTGGTGTGACCGTGATCGAGGTTGCCGTGAGTTGCGAATTCATTGCGTTAGAGAAGGGAAATCAGCCAGGGTCCCACTTCTGATTATTATCTGTCAAATGATCGTGGAGGGGGATTGAAACTGAACCAGCTTATGCCCTCACCAACATCTACATGTTCCCTTGGATTTCTGGCTAATATTTCAACATTGCAAGTTGTCATCACTGCCTTGGGTGAGATGACGTGACACTGCTGATTACTCGCTGAGCTATCGGAGGACCGGGTTGCTTTCACTTTTCCTCTTAGCAATTTGTTTATGATACCTTCCTTCAGGTGATGGTGGAGAATTCAGACTTCACTCCGTCGCAGGTTGGGTGTCTCTTCACCTTCCTGGCCCGGCAGCTGGCAAAGCCCGACAATACACTTTTTGTCAACCGGAAGCTTTTTGACCAGGTGAGGAACCTCTGAGAAGGAATGAAATCTACCAGAATGGAAGGTCAGGCTCCTGTGAAGTCCTTTCCAATCTGACTTCTCAATGCGCAGGGTAGCATTCGTCTGCCTGATTTATATTTTCATCCATAGAGGTGGACAATGAGAACCTCTGGTAGCATTGTGCTGCAGTGCTGAAGGTGCCAGGTTCACATCTATAACTGATGTGCAGTCCGTTCCTGATTTCTACTAATGTGTTGTAGATTGATGGCATTGGGAACAAAGGCATCAGCAGAGGCCAACACATCCCAACCCAACAATAATAATCCTTGCCTTTGATATAGCACCTTATCACATCGTTGAGATATCTCAAAAGTGCTTCACAGAATATACTCCAAAGTGAATTGACTGTATATTTTGCGGGCGAAACACGGCAGCCAATTGTACACAAACAACTGTGATTGAGTGATCCAACTATTTGTTTTTTTTAAGGTATTAATATCCCCGGATAGCAATCTGCCAATCGACTAACAACCAGATTCCTAACTTAAAGCTAGGTAAACACAGGCATGTGAAGTAAGGAAACTTGCCTAAGGTTTTGCCTTGCCCAGTAATCGAACCCCGGTCCTCTCGCTTGCGAAGCGAGTGCTCTAACCAATACGCTACAGGATTTAACTGATCATGGACCTGATTCCAAACCTTTAGGCTGTCCTGTTTATCTGGGGATAGGAGTAAAATGGTGCTAACTGCTTTCACAAATTCCTTTTTTTTCTCTCTTTTATGCCTCTCTTTTTAGGTACTTGAATTTTTGTGTAGCCCTGATGATGAGTCTCGACATGCTGAAAGGCAACAGGTAAGGCTAGCATCAAGGGTCTGGCCTGACTTATTATCAAAACTAAACATTTACAAATTCTGAGTTCTGAATTGAAAGTTATCTTTGGAATACTTTATAGAGATTTTAGTTAAAAGTCCTTATATGCTAACTAACAGAATTTGGTCCCTCTCACCATTCATACAAGCCAATTCTGAACTGAACAACCAATTTGTTTGACTTCCAGGCTTAAAAACAGACTCTACAAAGACACTATACTAACAGTAACTATTACAAAAGAGATTTGTGATATTTCAATGTGATGAGGTGCTATAAAAAAACAAGTTCTTTCTTACGATTTTTTTAAACCCGAGCTTGTTATTGCTTAACCACAGCTTATTTGATCACCTTGCTTTCCAATCTGAGTGCTGGTTATCGCATTGGTCCTTCAGTTAGATTTCTTAATTTAAAACTATGTTAAGTTCCAGCTTGGATCCTTCTGAAGAACTGGGATGAACATAAATAATTCATCCCTCATTATTTACGTATATTTAAAATAAGATTGAATGTTTGAACTGCAGTTAATACATATTCCTTCAAAGTGCACTCCAAGCTCATTGTGGGGCCAGATGTCAAGAACTCAGGCTTTTATGCATTATAATGATATGGAAATATTAATGCAGCTTTCTCAGCCATAGTGACTAGGATAGACAATTATTTGGGGAGAAGTTTGCAGGTGTATGGGGAGAGAGCGGGGGAGTGGGATTGATTTGGATAGCTCTTTTCAAAGAGCCGGCACTGAAATGATGGGCCGAATGGCCTCCTTCTGTGCTGTATAATTCTATGATTCTATGAAATCTCATTTTAAGGCTTAAACTGTAAAGTCCCTGGGTCTCATACTCTCACAACAAATATAGCAAAATCGTTCCAAGCATTGAGGGCACTGCGATTTTTATATGCTGGCATAAACTGCAGAAAATCAAATATCTATTGTAAAGGAGAGCTCTCATTCCACGAGTGAATGGATTGCATGATATGTATGTGGTAAATACACAGCGCTGAGACAGCAGCCAAATGAAAGACTGCATTGTTGATATGAAGACCTGGCTTGTGTGGTGCACTTATTTATTTCACTAAAAGAGCCTTACATTCGCTCTAATTGTAGGTCCTTCTGGAGCTGCTTCAGGCTGGTGGTGTTGTGCAATTTGATGAGAACAGGCTGGTCACTATGGCTGAGAAAGCTGCATTGTAAGTCTTTAAAAAATGTATATATTCGATCATCTTTTCTCCCCAATTGGCTGTTGTTTATGTGTGAGCATCTAAAGTAAATGTTTGCAACAAGAAAATTACTTGTGTATAGTGCCTTTCATGTCGGAAGGACGTCCCAAGGCCCTGGACATTCAAAGATTTGCATCAAGATGGGGGTTAGAATCAAGAGTGGTGAATGGTAAGGGGGTCGAAGTTTGGAGGGTAGCTGAACACACTGTCAAAGAGGAATGTCTTGAAGGAGGAAAGGAGTTAAAGCGGAGGGATTTGGGGATAGAGTTCCAAAGAATGGGGGCAGAAAAGCTGAAAGCCCGACCGCCAGTGATGGAAAGCTGAAGCAGCCAGTTTCACTGTCACTGGAGCAGCCAGTTCCCACCAAGTGGAAGGAGTGGATAGGTTTGTATGGTGTTAATAGGCTCAACTACACGAACTCACAGACTTCCCAACTCTTCCCTTCACAGATTATTCAGAACAATGTAGCTTGTGTCCTCTCCTGTGTCTATTGACACCATATCAATCTGTGCTGCCTCTCCGTTTAACACCACTGGCCTGCTTCATGCCCCTGTCCTGCCCCATTATCAGGCTTTCTGCTTTTCTGCCTCCACCCTCTAGAACTCCTTCACCCTCTCTCTTGCCTTCTTCAAGGCCCATCTCAAGACTTTTCGTTTTGACCGTGCCTTTGGCTACCCTGCCAACACCTTGATTCCAATCCCCAGCATGGATGCAAACCCTTCTGTCCAGAGCATTGGGATGTCCTTCCGACGTGAAAATTTAATTTGCTATTCTTACCCCCACCCCTCCAAACAGGAACTGAGGATTAGACCCAATTGCTCAAGCACAAAGTGAGGTTCAAAATACACAGTCACTGCACTTTACAGTGCTAAGTGTATTGATACGTCTTGACAACGTGATAAGGAGCTATATTAAATGCAAGGATTATTATTATTCAGTTATATGATCTTATACAAGCTTGAGCTTTTACTTCTCGGCCATTGGCCCACTATCCTCGGGCATTAATGATAAATTGGTCACTTCAATCCACGACTATGTAGGACACTGTGTGCGCAATTGGCTGCCGCGTTTCGCCCATCAAAATATACAATCAATTCAATTTATAGTATACAGAGAGAGCTGTTCTGTTGAAGGGTCGTGGACCCGAAACGTTGACTCACTTTCCTTTCGCCATAGATGCTGCATGACCTGCTGAGGTTTCCCAGCTCTCTTTTTGTTTTAGATTCCAGCATCTGCAGTATTTTGTGTTTTGTTCAATTTATAGTATATTCTGTGAAGCGGTTTGAGACGTCTTGAAGACGCGATGGAGCGCTATATCAAATGCAAGGATTATTATTATTGGGGCAGCCAAGATCAGTTTAAATAAAACTTACATCTGCACCAGAGAATTCTTTCAGAGGAAAGATATGGAGATTTATTCAGTGTGCAATTGGTAATTTCACAAGGAATGGGTTTGAGAATTTACCTTTTGAAAATCAGAACACTGATTTGTATGTGAAATAATCGAGTCGAGAGCAGCCTTCCACGAGCCTTTTCAAGACGTGCTGCTACTCCAGGAAGGTGCAGTCTCAGAATTATTCAAACATTCTTATTTCTGGTTTGCTTTGTTTCACAATGCACCTTGCCGTGACTCATTGTCCTCTGTAAAACTCAACTTATTGTAGATTAGGGTGTTGTAAGAAGTACAATAAATAGCTATCCCAGGGAGATGCCTCTCACAGACTGATGATACCTTTTATGAGCAGTACTGGAATAGAAAAGATATTTTTCAGTCTGGCTCCTGACTACTCTCATTACTTACCAATAAACTAATAAAAACAAAGCGGTTAGATGCTGTTGTAATGTTAGTTGGTAAAGATCAAGTATGTTTATAACACTGAAGCAGACATATGGTACTTTTTCAACAACAACATAAACTTGGATTTATATAACGCCCTCCATGCCGGACGGCGTCTCAGAGCGCTTCACAGTAACGGATCCCGGGGCCGAGCCGGGGGGGAGGGGTGGGAAGGTGACCAAAGGCGCCGTCGAAAAGAAAGGTATTCAGCAGAGACCTGAAAATGGGAAGAAAGGGGGCGAGGCAAAGGGAATGAGGAAGGCAGTTCCAGAGCCTCGGGGCATAGTGGCTGAAGGCACGGCTGCCGAGGGTGGAGCGGAGGACTCGGGGGACAAGGAGGAGGCCAGACCCAGAGGAATGAAGGCAACGGGTACTGTTTTGAGGAGAGAGGAGATCAGAGAGGTCGGGGGGTGCAGAGGAGTGCAGGGACTTGAATACAAGGGTGAGGATCTTGAAATCGATCCTCTCTGGGATAGGGAGCCAGTGCAGTCTGGCAAGGACTGGGGGGATCGGGGAGCGGAGTTTTGTGCGGGTGAGAATGCGGGCGGCAGAGTTTTGAATGATTTTTCAGCTTCTGGTGCTGACTGGCTAGTTTGCTGCACACAGTATGCGGGCACCAATGCCTTCTGGTGTCTACTGGTGTCCCAGCAAAGTCTGGAAACACACACGAGCAGTTGCCAGCTTCCTGCTCTCAACCCATGTGCACAGCTCACAGGAAGTGATGTTAGCAAGGACCCTACAACCCGGACGTATTGACAAGGGGGTATTTTCATGATAGCAAGAGGTCTGTTTTTTATGTACTCAAAAAAACACATTATCCAGTGATATTTTGGCATTTTGCTTAGCCATCTTTTTCTATAATCTAGACTTTCTCCCTGTCCTGGCTAACAATCCTCAAATAAAACTGGTCACTCACTTGATGGCTATTTGTGGGTTATTGCTGCGTGCATATTGGCCGTGTTCACCTATAAAATTCCCAGTCGCTGCACTTTACAGTAAATCCTATGAAGCGCTTTGAAAGGATTGTTCTCCTTAGAGTAGAGAAGGTTAAGGGGAGGTTTAATAGCAGTGTTCAAAATTATAAGAGGCTTTGATAGAGTAGAGAGGAAGAAACTTTCCAATGGCAGGTGGATTGGTAACCAAGGGACATCATTGTGGAGTCCTGTAGCTCAGTGGTTAGAGCACTCGCTTTGCAAGCGAGAGACCTGGGTTCAATTCCAGGCAGAGCAAAACCTTAGGCAAGTTTCCTTACTCCACACACCTAATAATAATCCCTCCAAAACCAAAAACAATAATAAATTGGTCATTTTCAATCTACGACTGTTTGTGGGACATTGCTGTGCGCAATTGGCTGCCGCGTTTGCCCACAAATATACAGTCAATTCACTTTACAGTGTGTTCTGTGAAGAGCTTTGGGACGTCCTCCCGACGTGAAAAGCGCGATATCAAATGCAAGGATTATTATTATTATTATTATCATTGGCAAAAGAACCAGAGGGGAGATGAGGAGAATTTTTTTTTACTCAGAGAATTCTTATGGTCTGGAATGTACTGCTTGAAAGGGTGATGGAAACAGATTCATTAACAACGTTCAAAAGGGAATTCAATGGGTACTTGAAGGGGAGAAACTGTCTAAGGATATGGAGAAAAATTGGTGGAATGGGACTGATTGGGTAGCTCTTCCAAAGATCCAACACGGACATGATGGGCCAAATGGCCTCCTTCTGTGCTGTAAGATTCTATAATTCTATGAATATGCCAAGAGGAGAAATGATAGATCTTCCTGCTTTAAACTATCCAGTGAATGGGTAGTCGGCATGTATGAATGTGACTATTTCCTTGATTCAGTAAGTTCCCAGGTGCTCAGAAAAACAGTGCAAGGATGTTTGTTTCCTATTAAATCATTTGCATTTTTTATTAAAAGGAGCAGTTTCCCAATCCCAGCGAGAGACTCATCTTCCAAGTCAGAGGGACAGTTTACACTCAGCAGCCTCAAACTAATGTACAGGATGTCCACAAAGTCCTGTTATCTTTTCCTCTCTCTGTAGACAGTGCACTGTTCAACAAGTGAAATGGGTGGAAGAATGATAATTGTATTTAGAAGTACAGTTGAAACCTGTGAAGGTGGACACATTGGGGACGGCCATTTTGTCTGTCTTAAGAAGTGTCCGAGGTTAACTGAAATACCATTCCTGCCCAGCAGAGAAGGCCACCAACGCCATAAAAAAATATGTAATAATGTTATTTCACTAGAAGCAATGTTCACTAAGTATTTTAATCTAGGAGTTAAAAGTTAGAATCCTGCACTCTCACAGAATTCAGTAAAATATATTTACCTGTTTGGCTACAAAATATCAGGGTAATCGGCGTTCACCTAAAGCAGATTCTACTGTACTTAATTGTATTCAGAACAAGTATTTAACTGTAGATGTCCAGAGGATCAGTGTGAGCGCCATCATTTCCATGGCAGACAATGTTCTGCCACCAAGTTCGGTGCAACATCTTCTGTAACAGGATGGAGTGATGAGGTGAAATGCATCTCTTATGGTTTGTTTCAGCTCCTCCAAAGTCTCATATCACTGTTTTGTAACAGGGTAAGAGGACTAAGTGGACACCCTGTACTTGATTGCTGAGCAATAATAATAATAATAATAATCCTTGCATTTGATATAGCGCTTTTCACGTCGGGAGGATGTCCCAAAGCGCTTCACAGAACACACTGTAAAGTGAATTGACTGTATATTTGTGGGCGAACGCGGCAGCCAATTGTGCACAGCAATGTCCCACAAACAGTCGTAGATTGAAAATGACCAATTTATTATTGTTTTTGGTTTTGGATGGATTATTATTAGGTGTGTGGAGTAAGGAAACTTGCCTAAGGTTTCGCCCTCTGCCTGGAATTGAACTCAGGTCTCTCGCTTGCAAAGCGAGTGCTCTAACCACTGAGCTACAGGACTCCACAAGAGAGGTTGAATAGCCAGGTCTCAAAATAGTTGCATATTGTGGGTGGAAATTCTACCTGCTGAATTTCCATTTCCATAGCACTGCTGGGGGAAAATACTTCCCCACAGGGAAGGATTGGAAAGAGAGGTTAGAAGGTCATGCTTGGTGGGTGATGGGAGTATTGCCAGCGCATTGGCATCCCACCGTCTAGGCCGTAGTTGCAATAAAGAGCTAGAGACCATCGCAGAAATGAGTTCCCAAAATAATCAGCTGAACCCAGAAAAATTGGGTCTATTTACATTTCACGCAGTGGCTGGCAGCCTTATAGTCTGGTGTTAATCACCCAGATCGGGTTACTCATCAGTAGCACCATTAGTGGGTATGGAGCTGAATTTACTCATCGCCTAATATTTTCCAGAATTAGGTAAGCAGGATGCATCCCTCCAGGGACTGAATTTGCATTCCATTCCAACAGTCTATCTCTGGGATTTCCCTGTGTTAATGGGATGCATTCAAATGGGATTTTTGAATAGTGAAGCTGGGGAGATCGTCAAGTAATCCAAGCGGGAGGTGACAAATGCATTCACAAGAGTTTCAGCTGCATTTCGAGTAAGGTATGGTCAGAGGCGGGCAATGTGGAGGTGGAGGAATGCGGTCCTGGTCAGGGACTGGATGTGGGGAAGGAAGGAAAGCTGGGGTTTGAACCAGATGCCTAGATTGTGTACTGGTTCGGTGAGTCTGACGAAGAGCCCAAGGAGATTGAGGAGTTCAGATCCACAGGAGTGAAGATGTTGACAGGAGCCAAGGAGTATGGCTTCTGTCTGGTCCACATTCAGCTGCAGGAAGTTTGCACTCATCCAGGCCCTGATATCTGCCAGACAATCTGATAGAACATTGGCGGATCTGGAGTCAATACTGGAGGAGGCAAAGTAAATTTCATCCATTGATGGTGTGTAGTGTGGAGAGTTAACAAAAGGATTTGAAAGATTGGAGTTTATGAGGGAAGTTAGAAAGAGCAACTTTTTTAACAAAATTATGGCACAGACACAATAGACCGAATGACTTCCTTTGAGTTAAAATATCAAGGGTTCCTTTCCCCTATTCAACATCAGATTTTAAATCAGCTTACCAAAGCATACATCTATTTAGATATTGCTTTTGAGTTCTCGCATTTTTCATAACATCAGAAGGTGCAATGTTGCAAATGGCGTAAAGAATAATCGATTTTGACACTGATGGCTGTCTTTGTTTTCTGTTCTTGCCATGAATGGTTCAAACTAAAGTCGTTAACTCGTCCTGTGACTGGGTGCTATTTTGTAATTTAATCTTTTCCCCCTCCAGTTACCAAGTGTGTGAGTTTATGTATGAAAAGCAGCAACTGTACGACAAGATTATTTTCTGCTACTTGAACGACCCAGTCAGGAAGGTACGTATTAAAGGGATTGCTGTGTCCTTCAAACGTAAAGGAGTAATTGGTGTTTAATAATGCTGCATTTTCTTAAGAATTCTAGGCATACTCGAGGAAGAGTCCGATTGCAGTGTAATGAACCCACACAAGTACCTAGTACCCATACAGAGTGCCTAGATGCTGATCTTTAAGATCAGCTGTATTCCCCAAACATGGATTTGAATGAAATCGCCATTTATACCACCACACCTGTCGCTCTACTTGTTGCCTAGGTAATTCCGTGCAGTGCCCATTTGCTTTAACAACAACAAGATTCCATTTATAAAGCGCCTTTCACGTCAGGAGGACGTCCCAAGGCGCTGCACAGTTGGGTCATGACCCGAGCATTGGGGGGAATGGTCAGGGGAGGGGAGAGAGCGAGGAGGGGGGAAATGGTCAGGGTGAGGGGAGGGAAGGGAGGGAGCGAGGAGGGGGAAGAGAGTCGAGAGGGGAGCTGAAGGCTCGGTCAAAGAGAAAAGGGAATGAGATCATAAATGCCTTCACACACAAGATCGGTCTGGATGAAGAAGGCCTTTCGGCACCATAGGATCTCATCCCTTCAGAACACCCGCCCTACTGTTTCTCAATCACAGCATCAAGCTGCTTTTTAAATGAATTTCTATCGGATTAACACCCCGCCAGTTTTACCATCTTCTGTGCAAAAACTAAAAAAAACAGCTAATCTAGTCACCAACCCAACACAAGCCAAGGATTCCTCCATAAGATGCCATCATGTGTCTTAAGGGCTTGTACTTTATTGATCCAGTGGTGCATCTTCAACTATGATCGATGGCAAACTTCAACCAGCAGAGTTGGTAATCACTTTTGTCTGTTATTTACACTTGCAATACAAACCCAAGAGGATTTGTATTGTGAGTGTATGACATTTCACCTTGAAGGCCCTCCACGGCCCTGTCCTCCCTCTCCGACCTGCTCACCCCTTATCAACCTGTCCGCTCCCTCCTCTCAGCAGGTGCCCAGCCTGGCCCCCCCCCCCACCATTGGTGGTCGGGCCTTCAGCCTCTCTGCCCCAACCCTCTGGAACTCCATCCCACATTCCCTTCACCTCGCTCCCTCCCTTGCCTCCTTCGGGGATCACCTCAAGACCTTCCTCTTCGACCGCAGCTTCGGCCATCCTCTCTGCTCTCCACTCTCCCTGATCCCCAACCCCCCCTTCGGGTCCTAATCCCTGATCCCTGATTGTTCAGCGTCTTGGAACATCCTCTCGATGTGAAAGATGCTTTACAAATGTAATTTTGTTTTGTATTTTGTATTTCCTCTGATAGGCACTACAGGTTGTCAGGAAATTATGGAGACATATAACTGTTATTTCTATTGTGGACATTTCCAACCTAGTATTTTACTGCATGTTACTGACTCTTATTCTCTTTCAGGAGGAAATTTTCAATTACGTGCACAATATGTTATCCATACCTGGGTACAGTGCTGAGGACAAAGCGTCAGTGTGGAGTAAAACCATAGAACACAGCAAGGTATGAAATAGCCTTCAGTGGTTAAAATAACTTGGGTGAGCTGGTGTAACACAGGAAATAGCAGGGTGCATAAGAGTTATTAAGGCTTAGCGAGGCTGCTATTTTCAAAGTGCAAACGTATTGAATTTTGGTTATGTTGTTATAATAATAATAATTCTTGCATTTGTTATCTTGTAAGGTGGCTTTAAAAGGCCCCCAAACTTCCAAGAATTCATCCATCGGCATCTTTTTATAATCCACAGAGCTTTGCTGGGCCGGATAGCTTTTTCTGTGTGGTAATTTCTGTTATTTTAGTATCTAATGGCCTCAATGTCAAGGCTCACACACAAGGAATGGCTAGCTGAGTGAAATATTGAAGGATGATGCTGCAAGTACAACACAGTAGAAGGAAAAAATAGTCAAACCTTGCATAGGGCACTGGTAGGGAATCAGGGTAACAGCAATAGTGTTTGATGCTTTGCTCCTTAAGTGACTACTGAATTAAAACTTTGCCTCTCATTGCCCTAACTTTGTACTATTAGTGGTCGAACCTTCAGTCAGAAGATATTAGGATAAAGCGAATTATCTTGATTCTGAAAAGCAAATTATTTTTTCTTTCTAATTTCAGGACCTGGTGGCTATAAATCCTTCAAAAGCGGCAGAACTGGTTGCAACCCATTTCACTACAGAGCTCGGGTCCATCCTGGAGAAGTTAGAGGTAGAATCATGTTACCAATGGGCTGCTCTGTATTTCAGTGGCTTGACTACAAGCTAAAACAGATTAATTTATCTTACCAAGGGGGAAGCTGAAAGAGACCTATTTATTAGTTTACTTGTCGCTCAGTATGTCAATAAAGAAGGCAAACAGGATGCTGGGCTATATTGTTAAATCAGTTGAGTTTAGATCCCCAGACGTCATACTCAGGCTGGCCAGTGCTCTGTTCAATCCCCACCTTGAATACTGCAGACAGTTCTAGTCACTGCGCCCAGAGGAGAGCAACAAGGATTATCCCCTGTGTTTAGTGGAATGAGCTGTGAACAACAACTAGGGCTCTTCAGTCATGAGAGAAGATGACTCAGAGGGGATCTTATGGAGGTGTATAATATTTCAAATGGGATTGAACAAATAAACCCAGATCAATACTTTACAATACACTAAGACATTAAACAAGAGGACACAGGTTTAGAGTTGTAAAGGGTAATTTCAGGACAGACACCAGGAAGTTATTTTACACAGAGACCAACTTAAGACTCGAACACATTGCCAGAAAGGATGGTTGAGGCCAGAATACTGGAACTCATTTAAAAAACAGCTCAACACTGCAATGGGTGGACGGTGTTTTGGAGGGATGGGCCAAAAGTCCGTCTTCATCCACGCAAATCTTGTAATTTTATGATTCTAATCATATGTAATGTATTCAGCTCACTCTACCTTCAAAAGGATATTGATGAATTGGCAAGGTTTCAGAAAAAAGCAACCAGATTGATTTTAGGGCATAAACCATTGTTTCACCCACAAATATACAGTCAATTCACTTTACAGCATATTCTGTGAAGCGCTTTGAGACGTCCAGAAGACGTGAAAAGCGCTACATCAAAAGCAAGGATTATTATTATATATATAAATTATAAGAAGAAAGATTCAGAACAGAACCATTTACCATCTTTTTGAAGTCTCATCCAAATGTTGCCAATGACAATTCTGACAAGGCAGCACTCCCCACAAGTCATAAACAGGTTTGCAGAGTGGGGGACTACGTGGGAGATGAAGTTCAGTATAGAGAATTATGAAGTGATTCACTTCGGTTGGAGGAATAAAGAACAACAACAAAAACAACCAAATTACATTTCTATAGTGCCTTTCACGTTGGGAGGACGTCCCAGGCCCTCGACAATCAACAGGTCGGGGAGGGTGGAGGGCAGGGGTGGAAGGAGGGTGACCGAAGGCACGTTCGAAGAGGAGGGTCTTAAGATAGGTCTTGAAGGAGGCAAGGGAGCGGCGAGGTGGAGGGAGTTCGAGAGGGTGGGGGCAGAATGGCTGAAGACCTGCCCACCAATGGTGGGGCGGGCGAGGTAGGGGAAGTGAAGCAAGCCGAAGCACACTAAGTGGGGGGACCGGACAGGTTGGTAGGGGGTTAGGAGGTCGCAGAAGTAGGGAGCAAGACCGTGGAAGGCTTTGAAGGTGAGAGCCAGGATCTTGAACTGTATCTACTGTGTGATGGGAAGCGAGTGGAGTTGGGTGAGGATGGGGGTGATAGGGTCACAGAGCCTAGTGCGGGAGAGGACGCGAGCTGCAGAGTTCTGGATGATCTGCAACCTATGGAGGGAGAAGTTGGGGAGGCCAACAAGCAGGGAGTTTGTGTAGTCAAGCTTGGATGCTATAAATGGTTTGTATGAGGGTTTTGGCGGCCTGCCGTGTGAGACAGTGGCAGATCTGGGCAATGTTGCAGAGGTGGGGGAAGGCAGAGTGGGTCATGGCACGGATGTGGGTTAGAAATGACAGTTGAGTGTCAAACAAGACCCAAAGTTCCGGACTGGCTCGAAGAAGCCTTGATATTAGGAAAACTAAGAGGGGTAGAGGAACAAAAGGATCTGGGGATTCACAGGACTCATTAAAGTAATAATAATCATAATAATAATCCATGCATTTGATATAGAGCCTTATCACATTTCAAAGCGCTTCACAGAATACACTGTGAAGTGAATTGACTGATATTTTGTGGGTGAAACGTGGCAGACAGTTGCGCACAGCAGTATCCCTTAAAGAGTCGTGGGAGGCTGTGAGACGATTGAGAAGGGATGGGAGTCGGGGAGGACGGTGGGAGAGGAGGATCGAGTGGGACTAACGGAGGGTAGATGACAAAGGTGAGAACATTGTGGGGAAGCAGCTCGGGTCGGTGGGGGTGGGGGTTGGTCAGCTCTACCCCTCTTAGTTAGCCCGCTGGCGTGGATCATCGTGGGGAAAGGGAAAAGCGATCTGCCAATTAACCCCGGAAAAGCGATCCGCCAATCGACTAACAACTGGGACCTTGCTAAGTGCTAGGTAATCAGGCTTGTGGAGTAAGGGAAACTGCCTTAAGTTTCACCCTGCCCGGAAATCGAACCCAGGTCCTCGCTTGCATGGCAAGTGCTCAAACCACTGAGCTACAGGACTCCTAGTGGTAACACAAGAGAACAAAGCCATACAGAAAGCAAATAGTGTATCCCAAAGAATTGAGTATAAAAGCAAGGAAGTAATGTTAAATGTGTGTCCTCTGTTAAACCACATTTAGAATACCATGTGTAGTTCTGGTCACCATGCTTCAGGAAGGATGGGGAGGTGAGGAGAAATGTTTTCACACAACGAGTTGTTCGGATCTGGAATGCATTGCCTGAAAGGGTGATGGAAGCTGATTCGATAACAACTTTTAAGAGAGAAGTAGATAATTATTTAGAGGGACAAGTTTGCAGGGCTATGGGGAGAAAGCGGGGAATAGGATTGAATTGGATAGCTCATTTCAAAGAGCCCGACACAGACACGATGGGCCGAATGGCCTCCTTCTGTGCTGTACAATTCTATGATTCTATGAGAGTATTCTGACAATGTAGATTTAGTAGGATGTTACTATAGATGAAAAGTGATGGACAGGTTAGGGTATTTTATAATAATAATTCTTGCATTTGATACTGGTTTAAAATTCTGAAGTGATTCCATTATGTGAATACAAAAAGGCTATTGCAACTGATTGAGTCTCAGAGCACTTAATAGTGGCAGAGCCCGACTCTGAGCCGGGGTGGGACATGACCGTATGCACGGACGAAGAGGAAGGCTTTTAGTCGGGACTTGAAAAAGGGTTGGGAGGGGGCAAGGCGGAGGGATTGAGGGAGAGTGTTCCAGTGTTTTTGGACGTAGTGGCTAAAAGTGCGACCTCCAATGGTGGGTGCAGGCCTCTGTGTGAGGGACAAACAGGAGGCTGGTGCCAGTTGAACGGAGAGGTAGGAAAGTTTCAGGGAGTGAATGGATTTGAACATGAGTGTGACTATTTTCAAGTCGATCCATTCGGTGATGGGGAGCCAGTGGAGCCTGGCCAGAACTGGTGAGATGTGGGTACGGAGTTTGGTCCGGGTCAGTATGCAGGCAGCAGAGTTCTGAATGAGCTGGATCTTTTGAATAGTGGAGTTCGGGAGACCGGCGAGGAGTTTGTTTGAGTAATCCAATCGGGAGGTGACAAACACATGCTTGGGGGTTTCAGCTGCATTTCGGGTAAGGCACGGTTGGTGGCGGGCAATGTGGCGGAGTTGGAGGAAGGCAGTCCTGGTCAGGGACCAGATGTGGGGGAGGAAGGACAGCTGGCGGTCGAGCCGGACACCTAGATTGTGCACTGGTTCAGTGAGTTTGAGGAAGAGCACAGGGAGTTTGAGGAGTTCCGATCATCAGGAGTGAAGACATTGATGACTTCTGTCTTGTCCACATTCAGCTGTAGGAAGTTTGCACTCATCCAGGCCCTGATGTCTGCCAGACAAGCTGATGAACATCAGCGTACCTGGAGACAATATTGGAGGAGACAAAGTAGATTTGTGTGTCATCTGCATACATAATAATAATAATAATCCTTGCATTTGATATAGTGCCTTTCACGTCTTCTAGACGTCCCAAAGCGCTTCACAGAATATACTGTAAAGTGAATTGATTGCATATTTGTGGGCGAACACGGCAGCCAATTGCGCACAGCAGTGTCCCACAAAGTCATGGGTTGAAAATTACCAATTTATTATTTTGTTTTTTTTGGAGGGATTATTATTAGGTGTGTGGAGTAAGGAAACTTGCCCAAGGTTTTGCCCTGCCTGGAATTGAACTCGGGTCTCTCACTTGCAAAGCGAGCGCTCTAACCACTGAGCTACAGGAAGTTTACCCCGTGTCTGCAGATGACATTGCCAATAGGGAGCATATAGATGAGGAAAAGAAGAGGGCCAAGGATGGAGCCCTGGGTGACCGGACGGGGGCGGGAGGAGAGACCATTTGCTGAGATGAAGTGGAGGCTGTTGGTTAAGTAGGACTTGAACCATGAGAGTGCGGTTCCACTAAGGTGGATGAGGGAGGAGAGGCGGTGGAGGAGGATGGGGTGGTCAACTGTGTCGAAAGCGTCAGAGAGATCCAGGAGGATGAGGAGGCAGAGGGAGCCTCTCGATGGAGAGGATGTTGTTTGTGACTTTGATAAGCGCTGTCTCTGTGCTGTGGGCAGCGTGAAAATCAGACTGCAGGGCTTGAGGAAGGAGTTTGAGGTGTGACCAAAGTTGACCTGCAACGAAGCATTCCAGGACTTCAGCACGGAAGGCAGGGTGGAAATGGGATGGTGGTGTGAGAGGTTAGAGGGATCGAGGATGGGTTTTTGAGGAAGGGTGTGATTACAGTGGTTTTAAGGGGAAGAGGAACAGACCCTGCGGAGAGAGACTGTTAATCATGTCGGCCAGCAGGGGGAGGAGAGCAAGTTGAGTGACCAGCAGCTGGGTGGGGAGGGGATCGAGGCAGCAGGTGGTGAACTTCATGTGGGTGATCATGGTTGAGAAGGAGGGAGAAATGGGGGCAAAGGAATGTAAGGAGTGGGGAGTGGCAGGAGCCATGGCAGAGGGAGAAGGCGGTGTGGATGGTCTGGTTGGAATGGAAGGGGACATGGGGGTAACATGATGCATACTTGAGAGAGTGAAAGAGGGATATACAGAGCTATAGGGGAGGATTAG